CATGCCATATGAGGGGTCTGTGACCTAGTCTGTACAGGACGGGTTTGAAGGGTCTGTGACCCAGTCTGTGCACGACAGTTTTGAAGGGTCTGTGACCTAGCCCGACACTGTGCTATTGCCAGAAACCATTTTCTGCTGTGTTGTTGTGGTATGATTTGTTTAACCAGTCTATTACTGTTGAAATAATGGTCTTATTAAAAAATAATTTAACTATTGCTGTGTAAATAATTTACATCTTTATTGCATAATTTTTGTGCCCATCTACAGTTATTTCCATATGTACACTTGAAGTGAAATTGTTGTGTTAAAAGTATGCAAAAATTTAAGGCTCTTAGTACGTATTTCTAAATTGCCTTCCAGGCCCTATACTAATTCGTGCTTCCTCAGCAGTAGATGAGATAAACTGCCTCTTTAATCGCTGTCTGTCAAATCTAACTTCATAAATACTTGCATTTTCTTCCCTCCTGCAGGCACGTGCTTTAACACCTCAAACCGCAGAAACAGATGCCATTCGGTTTTTAGTTGGGACGCAGTCTCTTAAATATGATAATCAGGTAACTATCTTTGACAAATGTATCAGTGCTAATTACTAAGCCTATTCTTAGGTTTATAACCGTTTTACTCTTAATTTTTCTAGCACCATTTGGGGTAAAAAAAGTCACACAAACAAAATAAAACTTTCATTGGATATATTTAATCTTTTCAAATCAAAGACTATTACCCAACTATATGTAATGATTGAGTTCAGTGGTTTAAATGTATTCTGTTAGCATTATTTCTGTGGTTTTGTTTGGTTTTGCAGTGTGCAGGTGTTACTGTGTGAGCGACTGGGAAGCAGCCTGGGGCACATGGTCAGCACCACCTCGTCTGCCTGGCCCTGCCTGGGCAGCTTCCTCAGTTGCTCACAGCAGTCTCTCCAGCTGAGCCTGGACGAGGCTAACCCCATCTCCACATGGAGTTCCAAGTGGGCACCAGGTTTTCACCCATTTGCTGTTCTGGCCACTGTAGTGGACACTGGTGAGGTCTGGATTCAGTGTGTGTCTTGGCCCTAACCATGTGACCTTGAGCAAATGGATTACCCTGGCTGGACTTCATGCCCCTTATCACTAAAATGGAGGTAAAAACGTCTACGTACCTCACAGAGAGGCTGTGAATATTATGAAGGTGTGTATGAGTTTTGACGCTGGGAAATGAACATAAGGGCCACGTCAGAAATGGTACAAGGCCTCTGCCCAGTTAATATTATCACACAGGGAAATGGTGTAAAATAGTTATTGAAGAATATTCAGTGCTGGATAGGGTATAATAAAATGGTTGCTCTCACGTGTTAATAGGGATTTAAAATCGAAATAGTCACTTATTCACCTACTTTGGTGATGTAGATCTACAGCTTAACAAATGTTTATATTATTAAACCTGTAATCCCCTCATCCAAAACCTAGAGATGTCATATTGATTATGATGGTACTTAAAATCGTGCAGAAGCGGAAGCAGAACATCAAAACGTGCAAATTCTGGGCTGAACAGCATGAAGTTGCCATGTGTAAGGCAGATCTGTGCACTGTGGTCGGGTCGGGTCTGGTTGCGCTCAGTCAAGTAGTGTTCACCTGCTACACTCACTACACTCGTGAAAATTAAAACTCCTAATAAACGTCACGACTTAAGAGTTGTTAGATGATTCAGTGGAATGTTGAAACTGTATACAGTATGAACACTGTGTGGTAAAAAAGCAAAGTACCAAACTGGATCTCTGCTTAGGGAGGGAAATAGGTCAGAAAGGGCTGAAAACAAGCCAAAGGTTATCTTCAGGTGGAGGAATGAATGTTCATGATGTAAAATTTTTTTCTTCCTTATTTTCTCTTTTCTAAATGTGTCTTGCTTTTCTCCTGGGTAAAAGCTAAGATGGGAATTTCTTGTTTATGAGATGGTTAAGAGGCCCTGCCATGGAGACAGCGTGTAGTCTTGGTGTTGCTTAAAGGGGCACAGGGAGCAAAGCCCACACACAGGGCCTGGGTGCAGGTGGTGGTGCAGGTTGGAGGGTGCACTCCAGCCTGTGTTCCGAGTGCAGCTCAGCCGCAGCTGTCTGGAATGCACCCACCGCACCCGCTGTGCCTAGGGCTCCCCTCCTGGGACAGGAGCCAGGGCCAGGTCAGAGGTCACTAGTGCGAACGCAGCCACGTGGCTGTTGCCTGATCCGCTTTCTGCAGAATTATCATAGGGTAGGTGTTAACATGTTCCACCTGATTTTTCTTCTAGTGCTCTAAGTGCCTTTTCCTCATTTACTTTTTTTGTTGGTTATGAATATTCATGAATACAAAGCTGATTGTCACCCCTTGTGCCCAAGATGTGAAGGCCAGATCCATACTGGCAGCATGCCCCTTACTACAAATTGCGATTGTACCCTGTGTCCCCCACCCAGTTATCCCCAACCTCCCTTCCCCTTCCCCTTTCCCCCCAACTCCACTTGTTCCCAAGGTCTGCTCTCTCTCTCTGCAAGTCCAACGCACCACTGTGGTCTTTCTTTCCTTCCTTCTTTCTTTCTTAGCTCC